GCAGGTCTTCTTCGGGAGCCGCCTTCAAACTGGCGACCAGGTACTGAAAATAGTAAAGTTTCACAAGCTTCTTCAGGAGTTTCTTCTGCGGGAAGCTGGTTTTTGAAAAGAGCATGCAGAAGTGGCGAGAAAGGCAGCATTAGATTTGATTCCCCCCCACCTTCCCCCCGCAATGGTGGAAATGAAGATGACCAAAAGTTTACTTTAGAAACAATGACAGACTGAGAGTCAAGACTCAAAATTACAGTCACAGAGAACGAAGCTCCAAATGAGGGTTCTATCACATCTACCAGGTATGTGAGTGGTTGATTTGGCCCCTCGGAGGCCTTCTAACTTGTAAACCTTATCTCGTCGTCCTGCTCTTGTATACTTTTTGGTTTTTAAAAACACTATGCCATACTGAAGTCAGAAATAAGTTTAAAAATCACCATGCTTGAGCTATCATGTCAAAATTTAAGCAATGAGGCTTAAGTCATTGATAGATGCAGAAGGTTTTATGTATTTTAATAGTCTCTACTGTAGCCTTCATTATAGGCAAATAGGCATGTTTATTCAGAATGATCTAATGATCTACACCTCTTTAAACTAGCACGATTTTTGAGGAGTTATGGTTTATAAAATGTTATGACATCTGGTTTCTTTTAGTTTCCCTTTTTAAGTTTCATCTCCAGTTTCAGTGCTTAATTTCTCAAACAGAAAGGTGGAAGCAGTGAAACTTTTTCTTCCATCACCAAGAGAAAGAATGTGCGGAAGCTTCAACTGGTGCTTTAAAGTAGTATTAGATATCTGAACCCAAACTTTCTTCAATGGCAAAAAGAAGCTTTGGTCCTTTAAACAAACTGTTCTTCCTCTTTCTTCCTTTTTTCCAAATCATATTTTGCTACTTTGAAATAAAAGTCAAATTACAAAAAGGTAATAGGTGAATTTTTAAGATGTTTTGCATGTAAGAATTATACTCTGCTCAAAAAAAAAGGGTGGTTGTGCGAACTGGCACAGGCAGGACACAGGAACAACCATGAATCTATGGATGAAATGCAAAGAGTAAATTTATTTTCATTACTTTGCCAACCAGGGGATCTCCAAAGTAGCACCTAGGCAGAGGCAGACAAGCGGGGACGGAGCTTGGTCTACACTAGAGGATGGCTGAACCTGCTGCTTTTCCCTGTGTTTCAGGGATTCGCGGAGGTGTAATTTACCGCTGTGCTTTGATCTTTCAAAACTTGTGTTGGATAGGGTGTTATCTAAACAGAGATGTTCTTCTTGTCCAACATACAAGGCTAAACAACAATTAGTATAGCAAATGTTTTTCTACATCCCAGCTGCAAGCTGCTCGAGCGTGTTTACAATCCTCCTCACCAGTCTTCCGTTATTTTCCCACAGTGGTATAATCACAATTTAGCAATGATGCTGCCTCTGTGCTGACTTACTGGTTTGTGACTTTAGTTTTTGTTCTGCCACAACACTGACTTCTTTCTCCGTTTTTAACAGAGTATACCTGAAATACCTCCTAAGCCTGGAGAACTGAAAACAGAACTGTTGGGTCTAAAAGCAAGATCAAGCCAAGTTCAGAGTTCACAACAGTGACCAGAATTTACTTACGTTTTGAAAACTAGAACTGATAAAATATTTGTTTAACTGTCTCAACTGCAGAAATCCATATGCGAAATACTGTACTCCCTTAATACTTTTTTTTTTTGTTACCTTTAAGCAGAGTTACAGGCAGCATTAAAAATAAACATATGATGAATACTGTTGTGAAGTCCAATGGATTATGTGCTGAAATTCTTACGATTTCTTAATCTCGATTGCAGCGTTAAGTAGAATCATAGAATCATAGAATCATAG